GATTTATTATTTTTCTAATTCTAAAAAAATTTTGATTTGTACCTAAATAAGGTACAAATTAGAGCTCTTCATACCACGCTTTTTCACCTTTTCCCTCTTCCTCCCCCCTCCCCTTCCCCCCCCCCCAAGGCTCACATACCTCCTTCACCCTGGAAGGTCGGAAACAGCCGAGACCCCCTTCACCTGGGGAGAGCTTGGCTCCCCCTATCGCATCTATGCTACCAGATCACTAGCGTTCTTCTTTGCGACTGTCGTACATGCCCAGCGCCGTAGTACAGCAGAGAAAGACCCTGCTCCGCGTACACTGGCAGTGCTTTTGCCTTTGCCTCGTCCCGACATTTCCTTGGGCTGTCCGGCCGTGTATTAAGGCCTTGGGATCTCCTTCCAGTCCCTTCTGAAATGTCTAGGCTTTTTACAGTTGTGGCACAGCAACTCCCGCTTCTTTGGTCCGTTCTACTGCATGTTCTGATCGGGGTTTCTCGGTCCCGGTGTTCTTGACACTCCTTTTCCGCTTTCGTTTGGCTCATGTGCTCGCGCCCTTGTGTCATTTGTCGTCCCCGCGAGAATCGTTTGGGCTTGTTTGTGGCCTCCTGCTTTGAATGCAGCACTACTTCCTACTCCTTTCTATCCGCTTGCAAGGGCTTTGAGCTTCTCATAGGCTTCTTCCGCTGGAGTTTGTTCTACCTCTGTGTAGAGTTGAAGATACTCCGGCCAGCCCGTGAGTTGTGCAACCAGCTGTCCAATGCGCAAAAAACTCCCTTTCCGACAATTCGGGGTACGCTGCCCTGGTCAGCTGTTCCAGCCAAACACAATACTCCGAGATATTTCCGGAGTACAGAATGTTCTTGAGGCTAATGTATTTGTCCATTCTGTAGGCAGACTCGTTTTCCTTTAATTTGCCTTTACTCGGCTACAAATCCTTAAAAAATTCCTTCCCGGACCTTTAAAGAGAGAGTCTGTACCACTACTCGAGGTTGTCCCGCTAGCTTTTAGCATAGTAAGTGGATGAGCATATCATCCCTCAAGCTCAGTCCCCACATTTGATTATAAAAGAGCGCAAAGATTTCTCGAACCCCTTTGCGCGTTATCAAACACCTGAACATCTGGGAGAGCCATCGCGGTTAATGCAGAGCACATTGCATTTGTTAATCCCGTTTCCGAACTGAGATTTTCATTCCTACCTTAGGAGTTCTGCAGCTGTCTTAGAGGGAAATCCCGGCGGCCTTGGCGGCTCTCCGGCTCTCTCACGGCTGCTCCCTCTGTAAAGAAGAAATTGCCCGCCTCTGTGGCAGAATGTTGCGCCTTACTTGCGCAGTACTAGCACTCGAGTGCTTACCTCGGGCCGCTGCAATCGGATCGAACTCTGTCAGTTCTAGGTTCCTGGGCACCCGTGTGCCCTGTGCATTCGTGTTAGTGCATCTTCGAAACTGATCGGTGGTTTGTCAACCAGTCGTGCTGCACTGTGGCTCTAAAATAACCCTACATTAGTAGTTCCAGACGTTCTACATCCGTTCGCGGCTCCTCTATTCGCGAATTTCTGGCTGCTGACTTTAGAATGCGCTGCACGCTATCTACTACTTCGGTCGAGTCTACCGCCAGAAGCTGTGACATCTTTCGCATCGCGCAATCGTTGTACTGAGCTTGTTCTAGCGTTTCGGACAGGTCTTTCTCTAGTAGGTCTAGATCCACGCCTTTGAAATTGCTAACATAAGCTCTTCACCTAGTACCTCAATTCTGCAGGCTTCTGACTCTAGTCTTTTACAGACCTCGTCTATTTGCCGAAACAGCGCCCATATTCTTAGGGCTTTTCTTGGGTTCCGCTTTTCGCTTCCTACCCACAAGTTTGCGAATTTCAGCTGCTATGCATTCGCGCACTGTTGCTGATATTACGCTTACCTGAGGCGCTTGCCTCTCGGCGTTGGCGCACCTGCTGCGTCAGATCGGCAATTTGCGCTTGCATTTCTTCCATGCGCTTGCCTTCGTTGCCTTCCAACAAAAGCATGGCCTCCATCTCTTCATCGATAGACTGGGCCATTTTCCCGCAACAGGAACAATCAATCCGTATCGTAAAATTTCTGCTATCGATCGGCAAGGAGAATACTGCTTCACTGGACTCTGAAGCTAATAATTTTTTAAAACTCCTACGATTATGCACAGGTCCCCTCGTGCAGAGGTTTCCCTTTACGCAGGTCTGCTTCTGGCCTCTGCAGACAATCTGTGGGTGACCGGCAGTTCGCACCATGGTGATTCCAGGTACCACCTCGATCAGAGGTTCTCGTACCTTTTTATGTGCTCTCACAGTCTTCCACAGGCGACCTGTGGATCGACTAGCACAGCTGCATCCGCCAAAAAGAAAACGAGAAAAAGACTTTACCCTCAAAATTGCAAAAGAAACTTTTCCCTTTTTATTTTGTTCGGCCCCCATGTAAAATAAGATTTGGTGGGGGGGGGGGCACGTGGGTAAAAGAAATTTGCCACGAAACAACAAAAACTTTACTAGCGGGAAAAAAGTAAAGAACAAAAGTCTGCTTGTCGGCAGTACAAGGAAAAACAGACAAAAAAGAAGGAACAGAAATAGAAATACCAATGCGGCCACCGCCCATCCTTGTCGTCAGTAATATTAGCAATCCCAAAACAAAACAATCAACAAGCGCTTTGGCGCGCGCAGATCACATTATCAGATCAACTATCAGATCAGACTTACAGTCCAAGTCATATAAAATATTAGGTTGTCCCGAATGTTTTGTCGATTTCTTCACGCTATAGATCCACGCACAATAAAGACCTGGATAAGTGTCAACATGCATTTAATGCAGATTTTCCTTCTCTTTTTATATATTCTCGGATCAAAAACTTGCATGCTTTTTTTGATAATCGCTAAGACTCTACACCCGTCAATTTTATCTGCTCAAAGTTAGACTTATTTTTCGAAATTTCTTTCCAAAGTTTCTGGAAAGTTTAACTATGGATCAAGTAGAGCAATTCCCGGACTATAAGTCAATGTTTTTATATTTTCCTAGTTTACCATTTTTTAGCTTCAAAAAATATTTTTCTCATAGGTCTCGAATTTTGCCAATAAGTCATGAAACACGCAACTGCAGCAAATACACGAAAGTTTTTGAAAATTCTGTGTGTTGAAAACCAATTTGAAATCGTTTGAAAACGCAGCTTCTCGGAATTTTCAGTACTTTTACGTGTAAACGTGATCAAAAATCCGCGTTTTTTATTAAATAAATAATTATAACGGACTTGGTAAACGTGGCCTATGTAATCTAATATGGGTACATCATAGCCCAATGTTTGCTCTACATAATAATCACTAGCGGTCTCTGGAAAGCCGGGATAAGATTTTAAAATTCAGGAGATATTTGGCGTAACTGTTGAGCTGCTCAGAAAGACATGGCGATAACATCGCAAAGACCGAGTAAATCAGAAGTCAAATGTAGCTGTAAAAAAGAGGATAAAAATATGAACCAAATGGTACCTAAATCGCCCATGGATCGATGTTCTGTAGGTTTTAGTGAGCGATGGAAAAAACCGACAAAACATTCGGGACTGCCTAATGTTTCCAATAGCTAAGCAATTAATTATCAAATTGATATGGTTGCATAGTGCAATCAAGCCTTCTTCAAAACTTATGATAAGTCACCCGTCACTTTTTATCTCACTCCCACTTCTTCTGAATTGTGTTTGAATGTCTTTTAGATTTTAAATAAAATGAAAACACTGCCATTATATTATCTTTAAATGCCTAGCAGCATGTGCTTATGCAATCTTGCAAACGCATAGTGTTCATTTATTTTGGCTCATCACAAAATTCACAACTATGCAAAGTCGTCCCGAAAGGGTTTTCGCTTTTTTGAGCAAGCATTATATTCCGAGGAACATTATAAAAGACATAGGTATTTGATGCAGTTGTCTATACTTAGTCTTAGAAAGGCAACATGTGGATAGAGCAAACCCTATACGATACAATACAATGTTTTACTCCTGCAGAAGACGAGGTAAAATTGAAATTAAAATAAAAGTAAAATTGAAATTTTTCATAGATTTGCGCTGCGAATGCTAGTGAAGGCAAGGTCTTTGTGCTTTTTTTTGCTTTTTCTTCAGTGCTTGCGGGCAAATGCAAGCAAGTTCCTCAGTTCCTCAGTTCCATACTACAGATATGCAATTTTAGGCTTGTAAATTCGCGCTTTGCGTTAATTTCGACCAATCTATCGTTCCCTTCAAAACTGCTGCTACTCCCTGCTCTCAACTCTCACTTACGGCACGTATAACTAGAAGTTGAAAACTATCTGGTTAGTAAGGCTGGGCTCATACTGTCCGTAAGTTCCGGAACAGCTCCAGCACGCAAACATTTAGAGCGTTGTGCTGGAAGTGTTTCAGAATTTACGCACCAGTATGAACCCAGTCTAACGCCAGCGCCAAACAAACAGAGGAATAGTGTAAAAAGTGACAGGTAAACAAATTATGTATACTGTGCAGAAGACCTGAACCTCATGCTAATTCAGAAAAACTCAATAAATTCCTTAAACACTGTGCTACTCTTTAAAATAAGAGTCTGATCATTATGCTTTGCATGTTGTAAAAATGGCTGACATGTTAACTTCCGGTTTGCTATGAATAATATAAAGATCGTTCCCTGCTGGCAAGCGAGGGGCATGGGTACTTCTCTATAGAGTCTATGCTATCACAAGATTATGTGCAACCGAGGTACAAGCTATGCAATCTCATACATTATTACTGCACAATTTCTTTCAAAAAAATTTCTAGACTGGGCTTAGGACGACATGGTGCTTGCTTTTTGTTGCTGTGTGTTCCATGTATGTTCCATTGCTAACATGCTATTGTTCTTGGTTTGGAATGCCTCGAGCGTATGAATGAAATAAATGAGTTCTTTTTGCAACTAAAAACAAGAATACACTTCAACGATCAAGAATGATGGTGGGTACGTTAACGTATGATTACTCATTTGGACATGTGCAGGTTTATAAACGATATTACGCAGTAACCAAACGATTAGCCATTTTCTGAACAAATAGTCTTTTGTGATATTCACGCTCCACACTCCTTCTCCAACCTTCTAAATGTAAATCAATGGCTTGTTTGCTTGTGATCAGCGCTTCTTCATGATTCCAAATTTGTTCACCTTAATTAGAATTAGTTTGAATGCGTTTTTTAGACTGTAATCGAATAAGTTTTGAATTATTTTGACTAGATGAGGTACAAGCAACCTCAGCGTGTTGTATCAAAAAAGTTCTTCATACTAGTCATATTAGGCAAATAGTTAGTTCCATTAACAAGACGACATGTCCAGCGAATGTGTCCGAATAGGCCTCTAACTTTGGCGGTCGTCGGGCAGATCGCGATCGTGTACGCATGGCAAACGTTTGAATCAAATATCGAGGTAATGCCCACAAAAATTATGGCTGTCTCTTACGAAATAGTCAAAGGAACAGATACTAGCTGTCATCTATGGTTATTACCACAGCTCCAACCATCTCAAATTTTTGATGCAAAAGGTTCCATTCAAAAGAGTTTAATCATATGGCAGCCACCGTCACTTTTTGCCAAAAAATGGAGTTTTCGATACACTGCTTGCAGCTAACCCGTCTTGACTAGGTTTCACAATTAAAAAGCGCTTTTTTCCGAAGTTTCACATAACTCAATGAAGGCCTAATGATATACAGATTTAGCAGCGACACGGGTGCGCACTTGGAATGATTATCTATCATAGAGTCTAATTGTTGTAAAGATACACTATTATATTCATATTAGGTCATCTAAAAATATCTTTTCAATCCTGACTTTTTAGCGCAATCAGTCACAAAATTCTTAATCTAATTATTAGGTCGTTCCGAAAGTAATGTCGCTTTTTTCGAATGAACGCCACTATTCGTGGAATCATCATTTCCAAAAGATTCTAGAAGCATTCGATGCAGCATTTCATCCTCTTTTTAATGGTTCTAATTCCACTGCATAATGTTCAATGAGCTCTCGAAAAATTACCAAAATGTGCGACTCATGCATTTTGCCATGGTCAAGTTCGGCTATTTTTCTAAATTTTTGTACCTAATCTCCGAAAAAGTACAAGTGGCAGGTAGATAGAGCAAACACTATAGAACATAAAGTAGTTTTTTTTCCTTAGCTTGCTTCTCACAGTTTCTACAATCAATTTCTCAATGCCATCAAATTCCATATTTAGTCAAGTCAAACCTCATAGAACAACAACCAAGGAGCGACTCGGATGTGATTCGATGCAGCTTTTTCTCCTCTTTCTAACGGTTGTTTTTTGTTCCCGATTCATCAAGTTTTCCGGGAGAAAAACATCATAATTCAACTTTTCCAATGCTCCCCAAGGTGTACCCGAAATTTTCGAAAGTTGCTAAATCGAAGCGGTAAGTGCTCGTTTGGTTTGTAAAATTGTTGCCAAACCATAATCCATCTTTGTATTTTAAAATCCAAAGACTTGTTGGCGTTTGATGCACTTGTGTCTGAGACGAGCCTGCTAAAACTCGGTTGTTCCATCAAAAAATCTTTACATAAACTATGACGAGCTCCGGAAAGAGAAAGAAGTTGTGCTGTTTCCTGTAGGGTTTGCTCCATCCATCCTTTACTTGGACTCCTTCTGAGGTTTGTTATAAAATTTTAGAAAAATTGTGAAACTTGGCCATCTCAAAAAGCATAGGTCGCAGATTCTAACTCTTTTCTGGAAGATCACTGACTGTATTGCAACATCTTCATAACCTTTAGAAAGAGAATGAATTGTTGCATCAAATGATACCAGAATCTCCTATACATCTTTGTTCCGCGAGATGTGGCATACGTTTGAAAAAAGCGACATCACTTTCGGAACGACCTAATAGAATGCAAAATACAGGGTTCCCAAAAGTAAGTACACACAGGATTTCAGGTCATTGGAAGCCATATTTTGCTTCGGAAGAAAACCAAACAAGCGAAAAACTACCATACTATGGTAATGGAAGCCGCTGGCTTCAAATATGAAATTTTCACTTTACTGTGATGCTTCTTTCCAAAGTTATCCTAGGTGAACCGTAATAACCGAATTTCCAGCATTTGTCAGAAATTGATTACACCGTCAAAAAAGCTGAAGACACCTGTAAAAAGTTGTGTAGTAGAATCAGCGCGCGACCCTCCCCCCCCCCATACACGATTTTTCAGACTTCTTGAAAAAAATTCGTCAGATGGCATATTTATTTATTTATTTATTAAATACATCGTAGACGATGCACCACTTCAAAAATGAAATACAAACAAGCGATTAAATATGGAACAGGGTGGGAGAGAAAGGCAAGAATGACTTCACATTTGCTCTCACTTTCGAGTCGTTTCCAGACAAATCTGATAGAGTTCTTATATAATTTCGGGAAAATGATAAAGCTCATGGGTTCTAAAAAAGGCCAACATTGTTGGAAATGTGACTTCTGGGAAAGATGCCGGATGCATTCGATGATGATGTAGGTAAATAATGTAAAGGCGATGGTGTTGAGAATTAGAATTTAGAAGGTATGAGTGGATTTTTTACACATTATTGGGAGCTTCGAACATTTTAACATTTTACTTTAACATTTTAACAAAATATTTCACAATGATTCCATGCTGAAAGTTCTTAACGTAATCCTACAGTAATGAAGATCGATCGGTGATTCGCTCCATACTGTAAATTTAAGTTGATGCCTCCTTTACAGAATGGTTCTTAAACGGTGGAAAAAGACCCAGTGGGAACAGGAATATTGACGACTAAAAAGTGTGTACTTACTTTTGGAACACCTTGTATTGTTCGATAAAGCAAAGCAATCGTTGGACAACGTGGAAGTTTTGGAAATTCAGTGCCATGCAAAAGTGGTTCAACTCTTACACGCCATCGCGCAAGTGCGAGGCCATAACATTTGACCGCAACTAGATAATATGGTCGGAAAGCTGGGGAACTAATGTCCTAAAGGGAAGCACCACCTGTTTGATTCCTGCTTTGCGGCAGAGTACGCAGAGTTCGGAGTTGCAGAGTTGTAAAGTTCCGCAGCAATTCTGTCTTTCAGCCCTGGCGGAAACCGTCCTATTTTAGATTTGAAACATTTGGAAAACGCATGTTCTCGCCTTTCGCGTTTTTTAAGGGCCGCATGCATTAACAATCCCTCCAGGGGGAGGGGGAGGGAGGTGGGATCGCAGCTGAAAGGAAAACTTCATATTCTGAAGATGAATGATTTCACGATTTCACGCCTCCACCTAACAGTAAGTACTCACATCGTCACTATGAATATTTTGAACAGAAGCGGGAAGCTGTACAACCCGCATTTTCAAGCATTTGTATGATCCCTTTCCCCGGCGACCGACCGTCTTTTTTCGAAGTTATTTCTCGTCTTCAGATTCAATGAAAACATTTTAAGGTCGTGCTTTTAACTAACCCAACAGTGCTAAGCATGTTGCTAATAAGAACAATATTTTGGAGTCATGAGATTTCGATGAACCACAAAAAGTTGGGGTGTGTCGAATTTCAATATTTCAAAAACTCGTTTGTTCTCATCAGCAATATGCTTAACGCTATTAGGCTAGATAATCATTACAGCCTTGAAATGCTTTCATTGATTCTGAAGAAAGAGAAATAACTTTGAAAAAAAAACGGTCGGTCGCCGGGGATCATCAGGAGATCATACAAAAAGCTGGAAAATGCGGCTTGTACAGCCTCTCGCTTCCATTCAATATGTTCGTAGTGAAGGATGTTGAGAATAGTTATTGGTAAGTAGACAGCGTGAAACAGATATCTGGAGCTTCAGAATATGAAGTTTTTCTTTAAAGCTGCGATCCTCTCCTTGGCGGAGATGTTAGTGCATGCAGCCCTTAATGTTGATTTCGGATTCAGAGTTGCGGATGACCCCAGATGAGTAAATTTTCTAGTCAAGTTTTTTCTCGACATTGTCTCTAAGACGCTTGTAATTGTTTGCATTAGCTTTGGTAAGTTCGATAGAAGCCAAAATCAAAGAAATTTCAGATTTCCTAAAAGTTTGAATAGATTTGTATCTTCATTCAAAATAAACTTGCCGAATCTCCCGCTCGCTCACGTAAATATAGTCCACACTAGACATGCTGTTTGCTGTGTTTGCATCTGTGCCAAACCACCGAGAAGTTTGAAGTTTTCAGCAAAGAAATCGATTCTGTGCTGTTCACACATGACCAAATGCTCTGCAAGCTCTAACACCCAAAAAATATTGAATTTACATTCCTTGCTAAGTGTTTAAGTAAAGGTTAATATTTCTCGGAAACTAGAGCTTGTACAAAACATCTCAATTCAGAGTTTATGGATTCTATATTTAACAGTTCCATTCGACTCAGCTCGGCGAGTCGCATTTTCCAGTATATAAATGTGTCACAGTTTAAGGGATATGGTAGGTATTCGTTAGTTTTCACAAATAAGCTTTTTGTTTGGATGGTTTACTCAGTAGGCTGATACCAGTGACATTCATGCTGTTGGTAGGACTTTGTGTGGATAGTGTAGGAACAGCAAAAATTCACTTCGCACGGATCCGTTTAAAAGTTCGCTTAGAGTAATTATTTGATGGTTGATTAGAAACAACTTTCGAAATGACCTAATTTTAATACTAATATGCGCAAGGCATTTGCAATAGTATATGTGAGCCCGCTCACTGCGCGGGACAAGCGACGAACTCGCAAGTACCTTTTCTATGGAAAAAAAACTGCGAAAGCGTGTACTATCACTCAATACAACCAAACCAAAAGAAAGCAGACTGAAGGGAGAAATTCTAAAAAAATCAATAGCTTCCAATCTTATAAGTGGTAACGCGGTGCGCGCATTTTTCATAATGAGTTATCATCGGCTCCATAAAACGTGTAGAAAAAAAAATTGAAAACTATGGATTTTATCAAAATTTTACCAAAAGCACATGTGCAGCATAAATAAACTGATAGAACGAGGAAAATAAGACGAAATTTCACCGAAGTCCATACTCCTCAAACTTGGGACCAAATTCATGAAAACCCGAGTTATAAGCTCATAACCTGGCGAGGGCGGAAAGAGGCCTGATTTATTTCGATAGCGCTGTAATCATCATATACAGCTATATCACGTGCTATGCTTCAGCATCAGTTGATCTCTTACAGCATGACATCATAACA